AACAATAAAGAATTTAATTATTCAGCAATGATTTGTTTCCTAGAACATTGTTTCGTACGTAGGCGTAGAGAATTCAACGTGTTATTGTTTTATTTCTCTATTGCAACGTGCTCTCTCTGTTAATGCCTTTCATTTTCTGTTTAAGCTAGCGATCAAACGGAAGTGGGGATGGAAACGGAAATGAAAGTGGAAATGAAAATGAAAATCGAAATGGAAGTGAGATCCATACTGGAGAATGTACAGATGTGGAGGAAAGTATTTTCACATTCGATGAAATATTATTGATACTTTGAACTGTTTAAACTTTCGTGAAACCTTTACCAGTCTTGAGTTCTCTTCTTTCAAAGATGTTTTTACATCATGCAGTAGGTGGGAAGGTAAGAATACTTTTGTCGAAAGTTGTAAAAATTTACAGACGCCTCCAGAATCAGTGAAAAATTTCTTTTTATGACTAGATCTACCATAATTTCGAAGATTGAAGTCCCTTACACCAACACCTTGAAAATTGCTGTACAATCTTTTTTTTTTTTTTTTGCCAATTTTTATTAAATCTTGAACATCAAAGTTAAACGACAAAAATTCGGGAACATAACATTTATCTTGACGTTCAAAATTCAATAAAATGGCGAAAAATAAAATCGTACAGCAAGTTTTAAATAGTGGTCGCAAAGAAAAGATTTCAATCCTCGAGATGATATATTTGGTCGCAAAAAAAATTTTTTACCATTTTCAGGGGCATTTGAATTTTGACAGTTTTGAAAAACAAACGTATTCTTACTTTCTACCTGACATAAACACGTCTTTGAAAAAAATTAATGCGAGGTTGTCACACCTTGAAATAAGGTCAACTGGATGTTTTTTCTTTTTAACAAAGTTATAACAGTTTAAAATATAAACAATTTTTTGTCGAGTGTCCGAATACTTTCGTCCAACTCTGTACAATCGTGTCGTCCAATAATCGAATCTCGAAGTTTATATTACACCGCTTTTCCGCTTTCATTTTCAGGTTGTCTAATTTGTCATTGCAGAAGGAGTTTCAAGTACCAATTCTTGATTCACTAACATGGAGAAAATATGAAGAAAATTATCGGTGTCAAAAATGCACCTTTAGGACTCATAAACTAACTTGTTGTTACATCGTGTGAAGGCATCAAGTTTTACGCGACAAAGATAAATATCACAATTTCTTTCGTTGTGTCATATGAAATTTCGCTGTGAAAAGTGACCGAGAGAATATTTTTTTCTAGCTAATTTGCGCGCGCTCGTCATTATTTTCCTGTAAATTTAATAAACGTTCAAGAATATGATGCTAGTTTGTTCGATTGCAATTAGATTGTTGAACGATTGACAGTAATGCGGATTATGTCCTCGCTTATGTACATATATATATATATATATATATATATATATATATATATTTATTTATTTATATATATATGCATATATATATATATGCATGTAGAAAGTCTCGAAGAAGAAAGAAGACGTCGTCCGTTTTAATCGAGCTCGTGAGAAGTAAAAACGTCGAGTCGTACGTACGAAATGTGAAAATAATTAACGGATGACGAATTTCTGATTTCAGATAACACGGGCCTGTTTCACGCGAAACACGCAAAGTCTGCGTTCGAGAACTTTCCAGAGTTGGCCTTGAGCATGAAGAAGCACGTATGTACATGCGGCAAAGTGTATAATCAAAAGAGTTCTCTCGATCGGCATCAACGGTACGAGTGTGGAAAAATGCCGAACGTGCCGTGCCTGCAGTGCGGGAAAATGTTTAAATACAAACATCACGTGACACAGCACTTGAAAAGCTGCCGCATCAAAGATTCGAGAAACCTGGACTTCCCGAATTACGCATAATTCTCGTGTTTAAAATCGCTGACCTGTTATTTTTGTACTTCACCTCGTCGAAGGCATTCCTGTTTATTTATTCAACGAAATAAATAACGAAAGTTCAACGAAATCAAACTATGTTCATGGAACTTTCCGCGGGGATGTTCCTTTTGTGCCTTCGATTCGTTTCAGATCCTTAGATCGACATTTGAAAACAGGAAAAAAAAAGACAGCACTCTCGACAAATAATGTATAACATCCTTCAACAAATATGTTGAATTATTCTGTACATTTTTTAGAGAACACTCTTATTGTTAGATTCATGCTCGCCATTCATTTACGCGATTATTTTAATCTGTTTAATGCTTCCATTACCCTTTGCTTGCATGATTTTGCAGAATCGATGTGGCTACGACGGGATGATCGAGGGCAACGTTCGGCAACGCGTCAAGGAATGGAAGACCAATTTAACGAAACGAGATTTTTCTGCGAGACTTGTGGCAAATCGTATAAATGGAAGGAGTCCCTGTTTAAACACAAGCGCGTAGAGTGCGGGAAATTGCCGCAATTTACTTGCAAAGTTTGTGGATACCGATTCATGCACAAACATCATTTGGTTAAACATTTGACTTCTATTCATCGAATCGCTCCTTTAAATGGGACATCCATGCTAATTTTTCAATAAAGGAATTCAATGTTTTTACTTATGGAAATACCTGTAACATTATGAAATAAAATTTTATCATGCCCCAACGTAATATGCTGCTTTACAAAGACTTGACTAGACGAAGTTGAAAAGGATTCACGAAACGATTCTTCTAATTTCTACTAACTTTTTTTCAGGTTGGACCATACGCACGATGTCTGATTTCTCTTGAGTGACGCGAACACAGGAGAGCGAGCATGTAGAACTCCAGTTCCGTTAGACTCATCATTTATCGTTAGTGAAAGTTATTGCCATTAATTGAATAAATGTGAAACTTATCGTCGCGAAATAGATATTACAATAATGGTTGTAACAGTTACTTATTCTTGTTCTCTATTGTAGAATATCTTTATTTCTTTTCTCTATTACAGAACGCGAGATCGAAGATCGAGAAAGCGTGATCACCAAATTGAAAATGCCATCTCTAAGGAAGATCTTACATCTGAGAAGATGCGTTGCACCATTACTTGCGCGACAGTGCGGAAAGAATTCCTTCGTACATCTTTATTATCTACGAGAAGAAGACTTTAAACAGAAGTCGAATTTCCAATAGCATTAGTGTGAATTTTTATTGTTTTGAAATATGAAACGGAACATATAAAATCAAATGAAAATTATGTTTTTGTTTTTTAAGAACGTTTCTGCAGCGAGACTCTCCACCCCTATCGTTTAGCTTTTAAAATTCATAAATTTGAATTTTATCCGCGCGTCTATCGTCGTTCGAGCGCTCTCTGAATAATAAAAAACATCTGAAACAGTGGAGAACGCATGTTTGTCATAGCCGATAATTTACTATTCACTTCACACCTGATTATTATTCGAAGATGCACAGCCACTGAAGATCAGGACCAATCTTTGCATTTTACTTTTGAATAAGACGCACTTATACAGCTCTTGAGTCAGTTGAACTGTTATTTAAAATAACTTATCACGTGTTGGTTATATTGAAAAATATTTCAAATGAATTATGTTGCATTTGAAAACACGCATCAGATTGACGTAGTTGGACTTTTTTTACATTTTATGTTTTTTTAAGATATCAAGGTGACCTTCTTTCAAACGAAGCTAATGCACTTTTTTTTTTAAAACAATGTATTGCAACTGATAAAAAGACAAATCAACGACTTATATAACAAGTTTGATTAGAGTTTGAAACTAAATATTGACTGTGATTGTATTATTTTTAATATTTTCAGAGTATATGTTTAACATTCTCGTCATTTGCTTCTTTACATTTCCGTGAATGATGTTGAAATTAAATGTGAAACCTAACTTTTTTACACATTCTTTAAATACGCTGTTGCATATCTTCTGTAATAGTTGATATATTTTGATAAACCTGGAATATGATTCAACATAAAGTAGAATCTAATGGATTTAGATTTAGCCAATCAACTCATTCATTTCGACTAATCCAACGAAACATTTTCTAACGACAGATAATGTGTTCCTCAAATATTCACGTATTAAAAATTCCATCTAGAAAGATAAATGAAAAATGAACCAGTTACACACAAGTTGTTCACAATGCTAACGTTTACTGACGTTACCGTTCAATGTATCAAAGCCAATGTGAATTTTCAGTAGGTTAATAAATAAATTACATTTACATGCACTTATATTTATATACACTTATATATGGTTCATAAAAGTCGATTCATCGCTAAATAATTTTGTTCTTGCTGTAGCAATATGTTACAGATGAAAATGTTCGTAGCATGCAGATTACACTAATTTGTAACGTTTACGATGAAATTTTTCAAGAACTTATGTGAAGATTAGTAGTAGCAACGCAGTCCGAGACTGCAGTCACTGTGTCTCATTTGTTGAGCACGAGCTTTTCGTATGTAATTTATGTGTTTCTTTCAATGTTTTAAGTAAATCTTAAAAAATATTACATGCACAATGATAGAAATGTAAATGTAACTGTCGTGAACATTTTCAGACACTCGTTGTACGTCACCATTATATTTTTTTATATTTATTATCATATATTTGCATTTTCACATATTACACTACTAACTTATAAACAATAAAATGGGGTTGCTAGTAACGTTTATGTTGTAAACACAAAGGGTAGTCATCACTCTCATTTATACAGCGTGATTCTTAAATGCATGTCCATATTTAAAATTTGAAGTAAATCTATGCAATAAAATAAGTAAACAATGTCATATGAATCTATATTCTATAGATTCCCTATACCTTAGTTTTCGTGTTATAGATAATTGAAGAAATTGTTCAATATGTTCGCCTTATACTGCAATACAATGCTACTGTGCATTAAATAAATTCTGCTCTAGCACGAAAATACTATTTATAAATAATATTTTTCGAATAATCTGGAATTTATTCTGAATCCTTTTTTGCAAATTGCACACGCAATAGACTTTAAATTGCATAAAAAATAAAATTTTATAACAAATTTTTATAATAAATAGCTTTATAAATAAGTTGAGCTTTGTTTAATTCACGTCTATGGATATTTTCTGTAAACGTTAGATAAGATTTTAACATACTACAATATACTGTAGCATGTACCGAGGTACAAGATGAACACATTGAACATTTTTTCAATCATCTATAACTCGAAAACTAAGGTATGAATTTATATGACATTTTTTTACTTATTTTATTAAATAGATTCATCGCCTAAACCATAAACTGAACATTTAAGAATCACTCTATACATATACTTTTTTCTTTTTTTCTTTCTTCATTTACTATGCATTAACTTTGGGACAAATTTAATTTAATTTTAACAAATGAGTGATACAATTACATTCAATGTTCTGTCTGGATTTGAGGTTTAAGCTCATGCTTATTATAGAAATTATCGGATTCATCTTTTTGTCAGCTATTAAAAAGAATGTATTGAGCTTAAAAAACCTTAAGATCACCTTGATACTTTAAAATGTAAATTACATTATCTATCTGACGAATCACTTTAAATGTAACATAAACTCATTTGAAATCTTTTTCAATACAATCGATAGATAACGTGTTATTTTAGATAATAAATTTTACTCTGTATATTTTTAATATTCGATATCGTTTCAATAATTTGCTCATCCCTTAAGTGTCACAATTATTTGTTCGAAAACACATATATAAACTTGTTCCTGTATACAAAGTGATTCTTTGGCTAGTTGACTAAAACGTAGTTCCACCAACCACATACGTTTGCTTTACACGTGCAATCGTTTCCGTTCTAATACAGAGCCAATTTTGTCTCATGATCAGTCACATGTCACAGCAATTTTTATCGTTGTGGTGGTATTCTCAGGGAATCAACTAGTCCACTCTGTATACCAAAGCACGCATATGGGCAACTTAGCAAACAACAGGGAACAAAAAATAAGAGAGGAGAAAGAGAGAGAGGGAGAGAATGGAAGATAGAGATGAGAGAGAGAATGGAAGGTAGAGAGAGAGAGAGAGAGAGAGAGAGAGAGAAAGAGAGAGAATATTGTCAAATAAATAACTGGCGTCAATGAAAGGTGAATTTTAAAGGAACATGCTTTTACTTTTCTACTCAAACGAGATTAGATCGAATAATCCAAGCCTTTCGACCTCTAAATTGCAGGTAGTTGCTCGAGAAGCAAGTATTCGTCACCGCCGGATCAAGATTTCTTGCCGAAACCATATTCTTGCCACAAGTGCGGTAGATTGTACAAGCATAACAGCAGCCTGAAGCGTCATCTCGATGTCGAGTGTGGTAAGCCGCATCGGTACATCTGTAGTATCTGCGAGAAAGGCTTCAAGCAGAAAACCAACTTCCAGCGACACAATTCGACGGTTCACGGTCGTTGTTGGAAATGGGGTTGGAAACGTGAAGACGGATTGTAAACGTAGTACAATATATTTCGGACGTTTTGAAGACGCAAGCGCCGGATACAATTATCGCTTTTGGATTACAAAAGCGTAAGATTACAAAGGGAAAAGAACCTGTTGTAATGATTGCGCGCATTCTTGTATAGTAGCTGTTTGACAAGGGCAACGATGGTTCTTTGCCATAGGGTGGTTCTATAGTCGATCCAACGAGACAAGGCAGTAGATATAAATATAAAATTACTGACTCGTCTCGTTAGGCGAGCGTACGTCCAGTAATCGTCGTGTATGCGATAAAACGTACTGCACGAATTTATATAACGCAACAATTGTTGCGCTGGAACGACGTGCAGACAAAACAAATAATAAATTTATCGCTCCTGAATCATTTCTATTCAGTAATATTATACCGACGAGTTTAAAAAGAAAGCGACGAATTATTGTATACGGTTTGGTCACTCGTTATGGTCCGCCATCCAGCGGTCCACTTGCCAACGCAAGTGGTTAAGGTCAAAAGCGAAAATGATTTTTGACACGAATGTGGCTCGTAGTTGTCTTTAGAAATCCTTTTAGATTGAATGATTGAAACTTAGCTAATTCAGCTGATTTTTTGCAAATTTTTTTTGCAACAATAGAAATTCTGCAATCAATATTTTTTTATATAAAAGAACTTTTTTTCTTTTTCCTCTTCTGCTTTGAATATAATTAGACAGAATTAGCATGATTTCGTTCTCATACGGCATCTTTTCTGCCGTAAATTAGTGCAAAACTTACAAAGTGTCCTTGCATTGGTCGTACAAGCGAAGAGGAGGCAATTCTACATGAAAAAATAAGTCAAAAATGAAGAATAAAATTTTTTTCGTTTTGGGCTCTATTTTGGAGTAATCGGCTTTAAATATTTTCCAAGTATGTATACACTTAACGTAATGGCGAATATGAATTAATCTTGATGCAGATGATACGTTATTTACAAACAGCTTCGTGTATAATATTGAGTAATACCTGTTTACTTAGAATGAGTTTAGAAATGAAAATAAGATATGTCTATAATTTCAAAACTTACGTTATTAATGTAGAAATTAAAATGCTGCTCGATATGCAGCACATGTAATCATGTTGTGCGAATCAAATTTGTTTACACATTCCAATATATCTTGTGTTTTTAATTTTTTAAACGCCAAAACGATTTTGTTTCTCTTTTAAATGCGTCAGGCTTGTAACATTCAGTATACTTTTGATGTTACGTTGATAGATAAAAATCAAGAGGTATCAAAATCAAGAGTGATCATGGTGGCCAGGTCATTTAAAAAATTCCGTACCTCTTGAGAAAAATGGGGAAATTGCTCCATCATGTTGAAAAATAGTTTGTAACGTATCATCTACATCAAGATTCATTCATGTACATCGCGTGTGTACTCGAAGAATATTCAAAAAATTTTATTCTTTACTTTTTTCATGCAGAATTACTTCCTCTTCGTTTGTACTACCGACGCAGAGACACTCTGTATACTTGATGAATCTCATATGCGACGACTGGTAACGACTAGTAGACATATGCTTTAGATAAACTATAGAAATGTTTCCTCTTGAGGCGATTTGTAGGCAAAGATATGTGTTAGTTTTGATACAACTATACGTTTCCGCTTATCGTCACTAAAAGTTATCATACAACACTGTATTTTCTTTTTTTGCTAGGATCATAAATGACTGATGCACCTACGAAGAGCCATCGTCGTCCAAAGCTATCCATTCTTCCTTATCACCAGTTTCTTCAAACTTCTCCCGAAGAGAATCAAATTTTATGCGTTGCTCGTATTATTTTCTTCTTTTTTTTTTTTTTTTTTTTTTTTATACGCATAACTTCACGCAGCATTTTCTTTTATTAAGTATAAGTCACTATGCTACTTTTATCAATGATCGACATATAGTTAAGCAGCAGAAGATTAAACGGCAAGGCCGGCACGTGCAAGATTCCTCGCTCATTTTAATTTTTGCACGATTTTCGTTTGAAAACGTTTTTATACTTGCGACACTTTGTTCTAGTTTAACAACAGTGGAAGAAGGGAAGGAAATTATAAAAAATTCAATTTCTTGGAAAATACGATCTAAATGTTCGATGTGCGATAATGCAAGTAATAATTGGCTTCAACGAAAATGCGATGTTAAATTGATTTGAAAAATTTCATTCTACGAGAAATCCTGTGATACGTTGAATAATTGTTGTACAATATGTGAGAAAATTCGTAAAAAAAAAAAAAAAAAAAAAAGAAACGATATTTGCTGAGGCCTTGGTTATACGTAAACTAGTTTCGCAACATGTTATTGTAGTTTATTATAATTTTATTACAATCATCGAAGTACGCGATAATAAAATTGTAACTGCAAGGGTAAACTATGTCTTAGATCTTTCGAATTTGTTTGTAGCCGTTTATTTTCATGTTTGAACTACTTGAAGATTTTTATCAACTGGAAAATGTATATCTCTGAAGATGTATCTCTGGATCCATCGCTGAAGAAAAAGAAAAGGAAGAATCATCACGGAAGATCGCTACTGTTTTCTCGCACTTTTTTGTGAAAACAAATAAAAAAGAAAAAGAGAAAAGGAAAAGAAGAAGGAAGAAAGTATTTTCAAAATATATTTTCAACAGATCTTGTATGATTTTGGATTCATAATTGAAACCTATTTCTGATCTACTAAACTATTAAGATGACTTTTCTTCAAATCATGATTATATGTACGTATTTTATACGTATATTTTATTAATCAATTCTGGATTTTGTTTTCAGGTCAGGTGAATTACTTTCGGAAAGTTATTTGAGACGATTTTTAGAAGCTATACTTCTGTTTCAAATACAACAGGTCCTACACGGTTGCATGTACACTGAATCTTCATTTGCGACAGGAATATACTGCAATACTCGTGCTTATTATTCGAAAGTGTTTAAACAATGTTCGAATACATCAAGTCATATAGCAATCATTTTCAAATTCTTTGAAGAGTCCAATTATGATCGATGCTGGATAGAAGATAATTTTAATGTAACACAGAACTAGGTTAAACTTTGCTAGGACATTTTAACTTTTTTTTTGCATAATCTGGTAGTAATAGATAAATACAGACGAAATATCAAAATATCAAAGTTTTTGGAGTACTGCATGGCTTACTTTAATTTGATAATCAAGTAAATTTTATTATACATTTTCAGTATGCATTTGATGATTGGAGAAATATATTACCCATATTTTTCTATTTTTCAGTAAATTAGGTACCTGAATAATGATTGGAGAAAAGCCTATCTGAGAAATGATCCACTATTGTTTCTTTACAATAATGACATCAGAGAAGAACGATAATGGGTAATATCACAATGAGATCTTCTGGTATATTTCAAATCGCACAATTTGTATGCGGTATTTTCATACGAAAAATTCCGCGTAAAATAGTATAATAATCTATAAAAATTAAAGTTATTTTTGGGAACAGAAAACACAAGTAGGCATAGGAAAACAAAAGAAGACATATGAAAGCATAATGATCATTTTGAACACTCACAAGGAAGTGTTTACTTCTTCCAAAAAAATCCTAATGACTGTATCGCTTGAGACTTATTGCCTAGATTAACAATGATAACAATGATAACAGTCATTTCCAATGCATGAGACGCTATTTAGTTACTTATCACGCACATATAACATGCATATGCTGAAGAAAAGAATTTCAGAACAGTTGAATTAGCCATATAGTACTCCAAAATTACTAAACTTTGTAATTTTTGAACTTAATGAATTCTGACATTCAAAATCGATGTATTTTGTTTCTATTCGTCGTACAATCTAATTTTGCAAAGAATTGAAAAAAAAAATTGTGCCTCAAAACGAAAGTTAGTCCAGAGCTAATATACTTTTTGTTTTGTAAGCTTTTACTGACAAAGAAAAAAAAAAATTCTTTTACGTATGTGTACAGTGGTAAAGCTAATCTAACTTTATATATACATTGCAGAATAAAGGCACAATCTCTTTTCTGCACCCAGCCAACTACTACCTTTATTTTTAATCGCTTTTAACAATTACAGATAATTGCTTGTTGCTTCAATTTGGATTATGTTCGATGTTATGTCCATCGTGATTTTCGGATTGATGGAACAATAAGAAACATAATGCATGGCAAAGTGCCATTTTTTTGCGTTCTTTTTTTGGCAACTTAGGGAAAGCATTAAAATCACATATACAAGATGGGTGAAAAATCGCCAGGAGGTAATTCTACGTGAAAAAAAATAAGGAAAAAATGTGATATACAATATTTTCATCCGAGGCTTCGTTTTCGAGAAAATCGTGTTTGAAGTTTGTTTAATGCGATTTCCTTATCGTGTATTCTATTACCGGTTGTCTCTGTTCGTGTTAGTGTTTGAAAAACTAAAAAAATGATAATACGTTACAATCTGCTCAGTTATCTTTAATTTGTCGAGCGCAGTTACGTATGCAGAATAACGAGGACAATATTTCCAAGTATTACTATAGTACTTGTAAAGTAATAAACTAAAGTAACAAATTTCAAATTCGATTTTCTCGAAAACGAAGTCTCGAATGAAAAAATACCACATTTTTTCTTTATTTTTTTACGTAGAATTACTCCCTTACCTCCTTATTTTTTTACGATTTTTCACTCACTCTATATATTTGAAACAAATATACAATATATATATTTGAAGCGATACTAAGACTGCTTTCAAATGGTAATAAGTATGTACTTGTATCGTCGATGCAGGTATACGTATATCAAATACGTATTTCACAATGAAGTACAAACACTTTAGTTTTATCTCTTTTTTTTTTTGTCTCCGTCCGGAACTAACTTCAGAGTTGAGAACTGCTTTTAAAATGTTGGGTCGACACTGAGCAGAACATTACCTGCTACCAGAAATGTATCCATACTATTATTGGTGAGCAGTTCACGAATAACTCGCTAGACTAATTCCAGGCTTGTTCGCTTGCGCTCTTCAATGCATCCATATATGTTTGTTTGCTGAGTTTGCGAACTCGGCAAGAGATTCTTCGATGCATCGCTTATCGAGTGAACTACCACGAACAATTCGTCAACAGCAGTGTGGACGCGGCATAAGTGGGTATGCTAAACTAGTAATTCGCGGGCCACAGGGAGACACTTTTCTTCTTTTGTTGCTTCGCTGAACAGCCACTTTAAATCTACTCCAAACTCTGACGATTGCAGTCAAATTCTTCCTTCTCTAGTCGCTCATTCATACATACTTTATGTAAAATAGAAGATTCATATACATATACTATATAAGGAAAAATTCGATTGTGCAGGAGTGGAGGAGATCGTTCAGCGAAGCGTGTGCCTCAAGTGGCTTTTCTTGTGGCTCGTGGGCTATCAGTTAAGTATGTCTGTTCATGAGAGAAAAGGGTGCGATATTTTAATGTTGCCAATTGATTGAAATTCCACTGTTTATACAAGATTGAGCAAATTTTATTATAATAACTTGGAACAATGAGTCGTTTCCATTAACGTATTAGTTTAAAAATAACACAGAAGAAGTAACTTTATTTTTGTTAAATAGTGAATCAAATAGTGATTTACAAATAATTTTTTATTCGAATTTAATTATCATTAAATAACAAATTATAGCAGTACAGTTTAACAGAAGAACTATTTCGAAGAACTATTTGAAACTATTTGGAAGATTAGAAGTAAATTGTAAAAGTAAATTTAAAATACAAAACAAATATAAAATACAAATTATTTCGGTCCCATTGAACTCATTAACACAGATTTCTCCGACACTGTTTTTACCGACTCCAGATTTTTGTGCCTGACAACAGTTTTTATCGGCAATGACATTGACCGACAACAACATTAGACAATCGTATATCGCCATAGATGTTGCCTCAGTTTGCGTTTGGCTGTGATCTTTATTGCTTCGGGTATCTCGAATAGAGTTATAAACATTCTTACTGTTGGTGAAAATAGTTAATTATACAAAAATGTTTCGGCCATCTCCAGAAAATGATAGTTCTGTTATTGCAAAAGTTATATTATCAACTAAAAATAAAATGAAGACTTGTGTTATATTTACCTCTATAAGTTATTTTTGTTGTATAAAATTAAGTTACATTATCAACTAAAAATGAAATGAAGACTTGTGTTATATTTACCTCTATAAGTTATTTTTGTTGTATAAAATTAAGTTACATTATCAACTAAAAATGAAATGAAGACTTGTGTTATATTTACCTCTATAAGTTATTTTTGTTGTATAAAATTAAGTTACATTATCAACTAAAAATGAAATGAAGACTTGTGTTATATTTACCTCTATAAGTTATTTTTGTTGTATAAAATTAAGTTATGTTATCAACTAAAAATAAAATGAAGACTTGTGTTATATTTACCTCTATAGGTTATTTTTTGGTATAAATATGTTAATATTTTTGTTACATTCATTAAAGAGCTGTTTTCCCCCTGTTCTCAAAATAATATATTTTAATATTTTTGTTATATCGCTTTGTATATTAATAATAGATGAATAAGCAATGTATTTTCTGTTTAATATGACAAAAACAAAATGATGGACAAATATCATAATAATGTCGTCGGTCAGTATCATTGTCGGTTAAAATTGTTGTCGGGCAAACCTGGAGTTGATGAAATATTGTCGGTGAAAACAGTGTCGGAGAAATCTGTGTCGATTGATTTCAGCGGGACCCGATTATTTTTATTGACAGCCAAGTAATAGAATAATTTTGAGAAAAACCATTTCTTCTTCAAATAAATTAACACAAGATTATTCCAAGCCAAATAAAAGTGTATTATTTAACTAATTATTTTTCAAATATTTTATTCAAGCAATACTCGGTTTACCTTTGTGTGATCCTCTACACTCCTGTATTTGTTTTAATGTCTCGGCTATCATATGAAAAGTTCTCGGTACACGAAATTGATGGATACCACGATATATATATAGCGCGAAAACGCATTCGCAAAACTTCTTCGTGTGTATTCAATATCCATCATACGTGTATCGGGATGCAAGTAAACATTTCCGTCTGAAACTAACCCAACAATAAATCTAAGTAAAAACGGAAAAGCTCGAAAATAGTAATATGCGAGATGATGAGAATGTCGAGGGAACATTAGCACATCTAACGGATAAACAATTTCAGGGAGGACGGCTGCAGTAGGACATGTTGGCGTGGCGAACTGCACTTTGCACCAATGCAGTATGTGCGGTAAAACCTATTCCTGGAAGTCTTCGTACCATCGACACTTGCGGGAAGAATGCGGGAACCAACAGAGAGTAAAGTGCAAAAATTGCGGAAGACAGTATCGTTGGCGTGATTCTCTGAACAGACACTTGAAGTACGAGTGCGGAGTGGAACCAAAATACATGTGCTCGACGTGCGGTAGAAAATTCCGTCACAAACAATTGCTGACTTCCCATTTGAGGAAATTTCATTGAGATCGTTTCAACGATCAATCATTTTCGCTGTGGTTATTAATCGTCGAACGGGATCACAGATAAGAATCCTTATTATTTTCCAGATAATATAGATACACAGTCTACATGCTGGAAGCAATAAAGAAGAGTGTATTAATGATTCGGCTGGTATTTCTCCTTGTTCGCTTCCTTCTTCATCTCCCCTTGGGTTTGCTTCTTAACGCGGTCCTTAATACGTCTTGAAGAGTACCGGTGGATGAATAAGCATGACCTTTTTTGTGGCAAAACATGTCGATGGAGTACCGTTGTTCGTTTGCGACGAAACACGACTTTCGATGTGAAATAAAATAGACGATTTTAGCGCGCGAGATGAAGGATACAGAATGGTCAACGAAATCTCTCGTCAATCTCGTTAATCTCTCGTTCTCTTTGTCGTTTGTTTCAGACTCGAAGAGGGATCACAATCGGGTTAACTATGATGCCCCGTTTACCTGTTACAAATGTGGTAAACGTTACACGTGGACGGATTCCTTGACCAGACATCTTCGAGAGGGCTGCGGAAAGTTACCTAGGCACAAATGCACCCTCTGCGGCAGGAAATTCAAACGCAGGGACTATCTGCTGCGTCACGAAAATAACGTTCACAAAGCAGAGTGAAAATCGTCACGATTCGAAAACGCTTCCGAGAATCTCGAAATTTGTTCCAATTTTGAATCCGATCGAAACGTTTCGGACGAAACGTTTCGTGTTTTTTTTTTTTTTTTCTTTTTCGATTTTTATATCATGTTTTTCTGATAGTTCTTTTTTCTCTTTTTTTTAACGTTCCAAATGCAACAAAAATAACATTGAATGTATTTCTTCGCCTGCGTCAGCGTATCGCGATACTGTGAATGTCGATAGAGAGTATCGATTTACTCGTTTATAAGACTGATATCATCGATTTAAACGTGTCAACGCATATACGTTATATTGTTAAACGTAAGAAAAAGTGTACTTTCCAATGATATCTCGTTTGATCGTGCATACTGAGTTCTGAACTTGCGATTCCTAAATTTACGAATGCGTTGACAAAAATTTCAGACATTGTAAGAAATTGTACTGTACGTGATTCTAGCTCGGATAGCTTCGAGCCAAGTATTTGCTAACCAAAATTAATAACGAATCTCATTTATTTATTGACAGTGGATCGTAAGTCCTCGTGTTCACACTTGTTATTGTAACTTTTCTAATGTCACTTAATCTTTTGATACGTTTAGAGTGTAAATAAAGTTTTTTATGTGGTTCACGTGTTGCAGATTCATGTGTTTAAAAAGAGACGCGGTTTATCGTCCTATAAGATTTGCACTTTTTCACTCCGAGAACCCGGCAGTTCAAACAAAAGCGTTCGATCAACGATTCGTTTCATTTCTTTGTGCAAATGTTGTAGTACGAGTAATCGATCGACACTACTACCTAGCGACTGCCAGATAGAAATAAAACGGCTTGTTCGACTCGAAAGAGAAAAGTCGAGTGTGGACAGAGATGAAATTTCAAAAATGGAACAACGTGGGGAAACTGATTGCCAATGATTACATCGCAACGACACTTATGTTTTCAGCAACCCGACTGTTTTCATCGCAAAGAATGGTAATGGATCGATTAATTGAAAACAGTTCGCAACTTTGATCAACGGTTTCCGTCGGAAGTTTAAGCACCTTTGAATTACTTTGCTCGATACGTTTTTACTATCAGGTTGACAATTTTGTTCTTTTCTTTCGTTTTGCGTTCAAAGAAGCGGATATGCATAATAGGAAAGCGTTAAGAAGCTATTCGAATAGGCGTATCTCTGAACATATATAATTACAGAAAGTGCATTGTTCTTTCAGCTTACTGCGGTTCTGACTATTACAAGAGACTTGGCCGACACTTCTGTTCGAATTGTGGCAAAGAGTACAGATGGATGCAATCCTTGGTTAGACACGAAAGAGAAGAATGCGGGAAGGAGCCGCAGCACAGTTGTCCCGTTTGTGGGATGAAAATACGCCACAAATGGATGTTAAAGAAACATTTGATCAACGTTCATCATTGGGTTATTTCGAATGGGAAGAACGTTTACCTCGGGCCGAGTGACGGTAGCACGTAATGGTATCCGGTATCAGTCTCGAGATACAAATGCGCCGGTGAAAAGTAGTAGCTTCTCGCAGCTGCTCGTCCAACCTTTCGTTATTACAATAACAATGTATACGTACGTAATTGCGATAATTCTTTCAAAAGGAACTTCGCTTGTACTTCTGTGCGTTTCAATTGTCAATGTACATGTACATTGTGTAAATGAAATTGTATTTGTACGGTATGTAAAGTTTGGTCAATAAACAACCTAAAGAAACGCGTGATGTGTAGCGAGCTAGTCACGATGAACATCGTTCCGATCTGTGGTGAAAAAAGAAAAGAATAATCGGTTGAAAGAAATTCTTTGCAAAAAGAAAAAAAAAAAAAGAAAGAAAGAAGTAAAATGTAGAGAAATATTTCATTATCTTCGTAAGAGTTGCAAGATCTAGCGCGTAACGTAACTAACGCATTTACTTATAACTATATACGTTAGCCTGACAATGGTTCTTACGCCACCTGCGAAGAAAGTTTAGAGAGTTCGTAGGTACACGTGTACTTACAAACTTCTTTTTATAATAAATGCCTCGCCATCGAAAGGCTGATCGAAATGATAGTACAAATTTGCTGTATCGTTAATTTTTAGGACTGCTTAAGAGGTTTGTCTGCGACAAGGTATATAAGTGGAAGGAATCGTTTCACCAGCATCGTCCACTAGAATGTGGAATTGAGCCGCAGTTTGCATAACGAGGATTCAAGCATAAGCACCATTTGTAAGAGCATTTAAAGAGACGTCGCTATTGTGATTAATCGAAAGTCTCTCTTAGTCGAATAATGATGAAATCGGCGTGTTTTTTCGTTTCCTTTTGTTTTCCTACTCTTTCATTTTCATTGTGATAGCACGAGATAGAATGGAGAAAACAAATAAGCAAGAAAAAGATGTAAAAAAAGAAAAAAAAAACACTCTGATGGTAGAACTTTGTCGACTGGTTTTGTATCGCATTTGTAATTATCACGATGTAGATGCATGTAGTTAGCATTTTTTATCGTATGATATTCATGAGCGGTGCACATTGTTACATACGAAATGTTCGTATCGGACAAGACTATAATATACATACACACATACATATACCTATACGTACATACATAATATATGTATGTATGTATGTATGTATACATGTAGAAATCTATGTAAACATCTTTTGAATTTGACAATAAAAGATATTGTTCCATAACGCATTTAACGTGAAATTGAGAGGGTATTTTTTCATAAAAATGTGATAAAAGCGTGTACGTATGTTTGTCGAATAAGCAGCAACTGTTTCACAATGCTAATTAAAGTGTATCTTTTTGTGATTTCAGGTTTACCGATTTTTGTGTTTCGTTCGAGCCATCTGTGTAACAACTGTGGAAAAACGTATAAATGGAAAGAATCGTTGAACTTACACAAGCGTATGGAATGCGGTATTGAGCCACGATTCGGTTGCAAAATCTGCGGAAGAAGATTTAAACACAAACACCATCTCGCGAAGCATCATAAATCGATACACAATTACGTTGACGTGCCTGTGCTACAAGCTTCGTTGTATACTCGATAACAAAGTATCGAAGTAACGAAGTAACAGTCGAAGATATCCGTTATCTTTGCATGATGATAACTCAGACGTGGAATAAAGCGAGAAAAACAAAATAGAAAGCGATATTTTCAAAGCGAATTACGAAAAATTTGAGATTAGCTACTCGATGTACGTACTGCATTATGTATGTTAGCGAAAACGATTCGATTGCTTTGCAATTAGAGATAAAACGAGATTGAGCAATAAACGGAGAACAAAGTATTTCGTCAAGAATCGATGTTGATGTAAGTTTTTGAAACAGCCTTACGTAAAAATTTCTTCCGACTCTGTCCCACGGTGTTGTCTGAAAATATTCACAGTCGCTTTACATAACGCCGAACGTCAGAACAATTTTTTCGCTGAAATAAACAAAACGAACGATATTTACAGTTAATTTAAGTAAACATATGGAATCGGGTATGTACTCGTCTGATCAATGGACCGTGATTTGGATTATTATCCAGGCTTGTCGGTAAAGCGTTTCAACTTCTGTATCCACGCACGACTCATCGTTTATGTTTCAGGTGCGGCGACCACTCGAGAAACTGTATACCCGTGCAGAGTGTGCGGCAAAATCTACTCGATAAAATCTTCCATGTATACGCATCTCCGCCTATGCGGAAAGGAACCGAAATTCAACTGCGTTCTCTGCGGGAAGAGGTTCAAATACAAGCACAGACTGCAGTCGCATCTTACCTCAAATTTGCACAATCAGGAGTTTCGATAATATACTCGGAGAGAAATTGAAACCCAAACATTATCGTGACCCGTCGCGTGATAATTCTTTTTCGAAAAATCGACACATTCCAGTGCATAAATCCAATCATCCTTTCTCCGAAACTTGTACAAATTAATTTGAAGATTTTACTGTCAAACTTTAGGAAATTCTGGGCTTCCAGTAAATTGTAAGCGACTTTTAGATTAATAAAGATTCGTTGAGAATTTAACGATGAAGCGTTCAATTCCTGCATTAAAAAAAAAAAAAAAAAGAAACAAAGTTGTCGAGAACAGACCGCTTTGAAAAATGCATGTTATTCGGAGTAATTATCGATAAGCAATTAGGAAACATTTTTTGATCGAATTGCTTGATCGAAGAATCCACTGAATAATTTCGAGCAAAGAACGAAAGCAACGTGCTATCGCTGTACTGGCTTAATTGTTTCGTTAGTGTTATTTGTTAGTGCTAGTGATGAAGAGCGTGGAAATGAAAAAAAGTAATTTGTCTTTGGATAAGAGTTTAAAAACGGAAAGCTAACCAACCCGTTTTACGTTTCTTCTTTTGCAGTTCACTTGCAGAAGGAAGCGTGGATTTGCTTTCGATGTGGCAAACGTTATCAATGGCGTGCTTCCTTGAAGAATCATATCCGAGTGGAATGCGGCAAAGAACCTACTTTCAAGTGTCCAATTTGTGGCAGGAAGTTCAAGCATAAACATAGATGGCAATCACACGCGAAATCCATGCACCGTATTAACTTATAACGAACAATTTCCAACATTCCGATGTCGTCGATGTTCAACAAATGTTTCCCTGCGATTCTTCGGTTTTGCGACAAAACAGTGCAACAATTACCTACGATAATAAAAATTTTATCGACAAGCGCTTGTATAATACCTATGAGTACGATTCCTTTTATTCGTATATATATACATATATATATTATGTTAAATTATCTAAAATATAATTTAATAGAAGAGAAGAATTTCATATCCGAGAAGTTTCGTATCTTTTTTATATTTTTTTGTTCCTTGCGTATTAACAAAGTATTCGTTGTCGTAGAGTTGCGTTTTCCATTTGATTGGCCACAGAAATTTCGTGTCACCATCAGATCATAGTTTTACATCAAAGGCATCAACTGTGTTATTGGTAGCTTCTAGTCTTTTTTTCGTGCGAAACGTGGCGTGTTTTTGCAAAAGATCTCCAAGGCCGTTGAAGTAATTCCTGGATTTCTCTTTACAGTCTTCTCGAAGAAAATGTGGTGGTGCTCTCAATGCGGCAAGCGATACATGTGGAGGGACTCGTTGAAGAAGCACCTGCGAGTCGAGTGCGGCAAGGATCCTACGTTCGAATGTCCCATTTGTGGCCGAAAATTCAAGCATAAACATCGTTGGCAGTCGCACGCTAAACTGATTCATTATGTTACCATGTGATTTACGAAAAAACAGGCTTGACTCTAGCTATTTGTATTGACAATTAATACAAATCAAAAGTGAATCGAACAAGTGATACATGCTTTAAGGAAAACTGTGATCGAGTATTGTTAAAAAGATTGATTCATTATTGTCTTTTCAATTTTGCCTCGAGAAATAAATGTCAAGCGTTACGAACGAAATTTCACGAGTATTTGTATAACATGTTACTTCTCGTTAAATCCGTGAAATAATCGAAGAAAGGCAAAGATCCGAAAACGAAATGCTTGCGCGTTTTCTTTGTATCTCGTAAGTATAATTAAATGAAAGTACCTGCACGTTGTACTTTTCCTTAAAAAAGTTTACAAAAATTTCGAATATACGCTATCTTCGTACAAATTATTTTGACTTGTGCCAAACAAATTCTCGTAAATAAAGTAGGGATTATATTTTCTTCGTCGCATTTAAAATGAGAGGAATTATGTCATTTTCTTCGTTCTTACATTGCACCCTATGTCACAGCCGGCATTCGCTCCTGTTTTCGTTAGATTTTACGATTTTAAAGTTCACGTATGAAACAGTGAATCTGGTATATAAATATCTATACTCAATGCTCATAGCTCGTGATCACGATCGTCTTTCATTTTTTCTCGCGTATAAATATCGAATCAAACGCGTTCTCCTCTTACTGACGAGCATTCCGTCTTTTCTCTATTTTCTAGTACCAAGGCTGACGGTGAAGAACATCGAAAATCTACGATACAAAAGACGGCCGGTGATTCACAAGTGCACCAGGTGTGGAAAGGGTTATCAATTGGAAACCTCGCTACGAAGACACCAAAGACTCGAATGTGGGGTGGAACCGAGGCAAAGCTGTCAAATTTGTGGGAAAAAATTCACTCATAGATTCAAGCTAACGCATCATTTAGCTTCGTGTAGAAGAAAACGGGAATACTATGGAACGATATAAATTGTGACATTGTATATCAGATCCACTAAAAAAAAAAAAAAAAAAAAAAAAAAAAAAAAAAAAAAAAAAAAAAGAAAGCAGAAAACCAAATAATTAAATCTGTTGAAATTCGATGTATATATAAAGTGTTCCATTAACAGTGATAACCAGAGAATTGTGATTTCCTCGTGAAAAAGCAAGTCGGAAATGTAGAGTAAAATTTTTTTTATTTGAGGTTTTACTTTGAAGAAAATCGAGTTTGAAAATTTATTATTTAAGTATACTTGAATTTGAGAATTTAATTCTAGACGTGACAGAAAAGAAAAATAATTAACAAAAGATTGCTCTAGCTGAAAAAAAAAAAAAAATGAGTCAAAAATGTGGAATAAAATATTTCCATTTAAAGCTTCATTTTCAAGAATATGTTTCATTTTGAATATATTTCGCTGCCTTGACAAGTTTCCAAACTCGATTTTCTCGAAAAGCCTCAAATCAGACAATTTTGTTCTACTTATATTTTTCATAAGGAATCACAGTTTGGTGAGTTATCCTACTATCGATGGAACAGCCTATATAGTATGTACATACTACGTAGCATGACATCAGAGCTGTGAAAGACAATGATAGCACTTCGAACCAAGACAAAAAGACTTTGTCACGAATAAGAAGTGTAATATTGACAAAGAAAATCAAGACTTCCAATTTAGTTGGAAAAAGATTGTATTTCGAAATTTCGTTACATTGGCGTAAGAAAATTATGATAAGACTTTCCCAGGGGAGAGATAGCAATATTAAATATTTATCTTTTTATACGTAGTTTATTTATAATGATCGACTTTCAAAATTGTAATTTTATAATATGGTATAATTGGTGCAATTTACTATCGAATTATCGAAGCTAGATATAGAGAAATTTGATCATTTTTTAAAAAGAGAGCGAGTGAGAGAGAGAGAGAGAGAGAGAGAGAGAGAGAGAAGCAGAGAAAGCAAGAAAGATGGGAGTTTGTGTTTGATAAAAAAATCAATGCGATCGGATCGAATGAATATCGAAGGAATTGACATGAAAGCACAACTACACCGTTGTATAGTTTTTACACAGTTAAATAAATACGTGTTTTCCTCTATAAAACGATCGTTTCCCCTGCTTAATATTTTGTAAGAAAGCATCATAGAGACATGTTTCATCAATAATGTAAAATACCATATTCTCTTACGTTTTAATTCTTCAACTTTGAATAACACTATTATTCTTTTGCTTGCTTTTACGAGACCACCTCCGCTCATATTTCATCTTTATTTCCTCTCCTCTGTCGATCTGACCATCTTCTTTACACTTCAAAAGCACCGATTGCAACGAAAAACTTCCCAGGGGCATCGCAATTACCGAAAGCTCGTTTAATTTCTCGAATCCGAGGGAAATGTATTCCCTTTCATCTCGTTAAGGACGAAACAATAACAAGAAGAAGACGAGAGCTTGGCATCTAACGGATATATTATTTCGTTTCAGGACTTTTGGTGACAATGCTGCTCTCTCAGGACGTGCAGCAGCGACCGCAGGACAATAGCGAACCATGGCGTCAATTACCATACCCGAGCATGCCTTACGATCCGAACAGGACGAGTCAAAGACGGAAAGATCCGAAGGATACCGGTTCGAAGTACATTTGCAATAGATGCGGGAAAACGTACAAAGCCACCACGTCTTTGAGTCGTCATAAACGACTCGAGTGCGGCGTTGTACCTTGCGAGGTTTGTCCGATATGTGAAAGAAGATTCAAGCACAGATTCGTCTTGAACTCGCACATCATCGGATGCCAGAGAAAATTGCGACATATTATTCAAAAGAGCGGCGACTCGCCGATATTCGCCGAGGAACGAGAGTAGCTACCCGACAGTCGCGTTGCAACAATGCGCTAAAGCGATCATTTTCTGCGAATGTCTTAAAGTGCATCATCTTCACCGACTCTGTCCGTATTCTTTTCACCAACGATCTTCTCCTTCTCGTGGATTATGTCATGAAACCTCTGCGTTGTTAATTCGAATCTTTACACATGTGTAAACGTATGTTTTTAAATTCTCAATTTTAGATCCGATTACGATCAACAAATTTGATTATTTGTCACTTTGTTTTTATAGATTTTCACTCGTGCCAAGTAATATGTCTCTCTGTAAAGTAGACTTACTATTAATCCGCAATGTATATAACGTTTTTTAATAGCTAACGACGAGGATGGTAACGGAATGTAATCGTATGGAAAAAAAAGAATACATATATGTCTCGTTTAGTATCTCGTCCATTACATTCCGCGACGTTGTTTCGGTGGAACGGATACCAAAAAAGAATATGTTTCAATCGTAACGTAACTTTATATCACCGTTTTATATGTATTGACAAATAAATGAATGTGAACGATCAAAGACAATTATATGAACACATGTACGTATAATCGAAACGGCGGCCGTTTTCTAGTATTTCTCAAGCTCGCATCGGACCAAATGCAATTCTCTTGATTCCCTACTTAAATCATTCGAAACGTAATTATATACTTTTATCTAGCCTCTTTTTTTTCGTGAAACCACTTCTCTGCCCCCGAGATATTTTCCCCTTTTGTTTCGAATACTGCTTGTTTACGAGTATGTTGCTTCGACAGGTGTTCTATCGAAGAGCGACTGGATCAGTTTGAACGATTATCGAAGCGGCTCGGTGGACGATTCGTTGCTGAAAGAAAGGAACTACAATGACGCATACTATTATCCGTGTCCTGTGCTCGATCCGAACAAGAAACAGCCGGTGCAACAGCAGCAACAGCTGCAACCGCAGCAGCTTTTCACCTGTGCGCTTTGCGGCAGGGAATATACCTGGATGTATAGTTTACGTCGACATCAGCTACAATGCGGCAACAAGGAAGCGCGAAACAAGTGTCACTTCTGCTCGAGAAAATTTTACAGACGTGACAGACTGAAAGAACACTTGCTGGCTCATCATCCAGACTTGATTTAGGTTTCATGCCAAAATTCCGCGAGATTCTCTCGGACCAAGATAATTTAAATCCTCTTGCGCTGGAATGACGTCGAAAATTTTTTTCTCTCGAATTGCAACATTTTCTCAATTATATATATTATGTATATTTATATGCAAAACGAATGATAAGTTTGTTACTTCGTAATCATTTCTATCCAGTGATATCATACCGACGAGTTTGAAAGGAAAAGAAAGCGACGAATTATTGTATACGGTTCGGTCACTCGTTATGGTCCGCGCAATCAGTTGCCCAGCGCAAGGGATCAACTTATGTTAATCATTTTTGAGATTGTACATCGTTTCCACACATTATTCGTAGACAGACATTAGGGAAAAATGTATTTTTTCTGAGTGACTCGATTAATAAGGTCGATTTAATAAAATTACTGATAATTAAAACGCTCGTGAATTCTGCAAATTGTCGCAATCTATTGTTGATATATATATCAACAAATATAAATGTGTCCAGTTTCTTTAGATTCTTGCCATTTTCTCCTACGTTTTTCTCCTTTCCTATTATGTTACGATTTGGGTAATCGTCAATTCGCAGTAATCTAATGTTTCTCGTATTACAGAAATCGGCTCCGACCTGATGAACGAGTTCGAGGCTTTCGAATCCAAGGATATCAAACTGATTCCGGAAATGATTAGGCCACCGTTGGCCTCTATGCAACACTACTTGTGCGGAGAGTGTGGAAAAGGATACAAGTGGATGGCGAATCTTCGCAGGCATCAAAGACTTGAATGCGGAAAATTACCCAAGCATCGTTGCAAAATATGCCGGCGAGAGTTTTATCGGAGATACGAATTAACAAATCACTATAATACCAAACACACCATTCCTTAAATTCTCGATAATCCTACCGTATTCTTCACCTATCGAGATCAAATTTTCGTCAAACGTTGCACGCATTCAATCGCAGAAAATACTCTGTATGTATGTTTAAGTTAAGGAAACCGGTTTCCGGTCACGGTTGAATAGTCAGTGATCTAGTGATAGTCCGTAATTCATCTCTCTTTTCATTTTATCAATCTGTCTATCGTTTGATATGATATACGAATTTATGTGTGACTATTTATTCGACGTTTTATTCTAGCAATTAGACTACAATCGACGATTATAATTTATTTGTATCGCATGAACTGTCAACTAACAGTTTTACATATATATGTATATATGTAAAAAAAACTCCGGGCCTCGGGTGGAAAGACGCTTTCTGACATGATGGCACAATGTTCGCTTCTGCTCCTTACAAAAGGATTTTTTTTTTTTTTATAACCGCTAATTTTCTTTACTAATGTGATCTATCTTCGCTTATGTTTGAGCTTTTGTTTTTTGGAGAAATCATCGAGTATCCTATTTCTCGTACAAAGCAGTATCGTTGATTGTTCACCGAGATGAGAATAAACTCTGTCTTCACAGAGTTTCGTGGTGTTCACAGGAATTTAAGTATTATATATGAAACACACATGATACCTATCGTCCGAATATTATTGTCGAATAATATTACAATTATGCATTACAAGAAATTATATGTAGTAGAAATACTAGACTTTATTTAACGAATCGAATAAACATATTTAAATCTGATTGAAGATATGCAAACATATTTTCCAATTTTGTTACGCTCGATTAATAAATATATCTGGCTTTGCAACAACACGTTTTATCTGGATATCCTTTGAATGTGGATAAAGCATGAACGCGAATGAAAGAAAACGAAGAAAGGTGTGTGTTTCACGGCGTTTGCTGCAGCATTGCAGAAAAAAAAAATGAACAACAAGTTTCATGGGCATTTATGAAATTATATATTATATTGCGGTTACTGCTTTCCAAGCAGCAGCCGAAATTGTTGTGTCCCTCGCGGTGCATGTGCTGTCCTGTTCTATACGATCAACCGAGTAAACTCAACGTGAATGTATTTGCTAACGCGAGCCGTTCGTTTTTCGCAGGAAAACGAGCGGACTTGAGCGACTGGTTCGTGAAGCAGGAGAACGAATACGAGGAGCCGCAAACTTTGTTCGAGTTCGTTGCCAGCAGCTACGATTTGGCGGAACGAAAGAAGGCTGCAAAGACTGTAATCTGCGAGGAATGCGGCAAAAGCTTCTCGAGGCTCGACAGTCTTCGGAGACACGAGAAGAATTATTGCAGAGTGAAAGGGGACAGAATGTACTGCCGCTTTTGCGGCAAAAAGTTTGCCAAGCCGCTCTCGTTGATTTCTCACGTGAAATCGGTGCATTCGACTCTCTTTTTAAAATCGCAAACGTTATAAGACAACGTCATGTATAACAAATATTGAGAGCTTTCTTTAAAAAAATTTAGACTTTGATTTTTCTCTTTCGCCTGTTTCCCATCTCTGTCATTGGTCGCAGTAAAAATCTCTTATTTTTTTATCGATCGTTACCACAGTGTTTATGAATTATTTCGTTAGAGAGAGAGAGAGAGAGAGAGAGAGAGAGAGAGAGAGAGAGCATGTATGTAAGTGAGAAAGAAAGGAAGAAAGAATAGAGAAGAAAGGGAAAAGAAACAACATACACACCTCCTAGAAATTTAACATTTTCATCTTTTTAATTAAGTATCACTGTGTTATGTACCTGTTATGTATTATCTACATACATACATCGTACAAATAACATATGTACTATGCGCATAAAAATCCGAAATATCCAGAAATCGTTAAATCATATACCATTTTTATAAGTGTTTCTCATTAATCGTTCGAGTGCCATGCAGCGCGATTGTATTATTCAAATTTCGTTTCAAAATGTGCTACTGCATTGGACACGCGATTCTGCTATTTGTTCTTCGAAACCTTTTTTTAATCATATGAATAATAAATTTTGTTTTTATTTGTTATTATTTTCAATTATTCGAAGAATTATTGTTATAAAAATATTTTAAGCAAACAGAAAGTATAGTTTTATTTGTATTAAGGCAAGCGCGATCGTCATACTTGGTATTTTTCAATAAGATTTTTCCAACAATTTTTAATACTCAAACAATTAGGAATGTGTTATGTATAGAAAGATGAAAAATTACAAGATAATTCACATTATAGATCATGATTATGGCAAAACATTTTGCAGCTTTATCCGTATATTCGGAAAAAGTATGGCACCGTACTGTATAGTGGTGCTTATTCTTTAGGAAACATTCTAAATTTCAACGAAATTCTATTAATTGAACGATTAAAATCTACAACGTCATTAATGCTCTAGTAAACATGGAACATGACGACTGTAACGAACAACTCTGAATGACATGAACTTCATTATGATTCTTGACAAAACAAAAGTTTCGTTTTTATGCGCTATGTACGTATGTAAATATGTATGCCGAAGATGCTGTAATGTTCATGAAGTAATGTTTCCTTCATATGTTCGAAATTGAATAAAATGTTTTTCAAATGACACCTTTTAAAACTCCGCCCATCTGTTCGAAGGATTTTCTCGGTAAAGAACGCTCGTTTCATAATTGCCTTTGATCGATTACTAATGAAATTGTTCGCATTATAATCAGCAAATAGTCACGAATCTCAAGCTTTTGCTCAAAAGCGAAATGAACGCAAGGTAATTTGGCTATAACGCAACATATGCATGCTTTTTTCCCTTTCCGAGGAAAACTAGCGTAGCACGATGCCCGCGAACTCTCATTTGTAACGAAGGCATGTATCTTTGCAGGTGAGAAGTCGGAGAACTTCAATTCAGAGAAAGACCAAGAGGACGACGCTGAGGTTTGTGAAATCTCATTTCACGGACAGTTGCCAATGAATTATTTGCTCTGCGATTCGTCCATCTTGAATTCCGTGGAGACAGGTGTCCTCCGGAAAAACGTCAAGTCTCACCAACAATTTCGATGTGACGGTTGCGACCGAGCCTACACGCGAATGGACAGTCTGAAACGACACCAAGCGAAATGCGATGCTTCGTTGGAGAAGCTGCAGGAGGAAGTCGAGTGGCTACATCGGCAGAAGTTCTATTGTAATCAGTGTGGCAAAGGTTACAAAAGGCTGGATACCTTGAGGAGGCATCAACGGCTTGTTTGCGGCGACAAAGAGAGCGCGTCTACAGCCTCCGACAAGCCGGCCACCTAATAAAAAAAAAAAAAAAAAAAAAGAAATCAGTGCAGAAACTTTCCTACTTTAAGACTATTCGGGGACTATTTGTCGCGTCGTATCTGTTAATCATTCGTGGCGTTGAAGTATGTAGATTTTTAAATTTTAGATTAATTATCGAGGGGAAACTAATCGGATCACGTTTGATACATTTCTGTCTTTCTTTTCGTCTTTTCTTTTTTTTTCTCTATTCCGAGAACGAAGAAGAGGGATTTGTTCGTTGAATTTTCGTTCCGCGAGACTTGTATGATTTAACGAACATGTTTGCACTTGTTTAAACGTTTTATGTATTTGTATCTATATTTGTGCGTCCATTAAACATCGAACAAACATTGAAATATTTGTGATTGTATTACCTTTTAGATTACACGAGTCACAATAATTGTCGCATTGTTGCACTTTGTGGAATGTGATCGCTGCCATTGAACTTTTTTTCAACAGGTATCAAAGAAACGAGAGATGACAACGCATTGTGGATGTTGAAGAGAAAGATTTGTAGCATTGGTGAAGACACCTCGTACTTCCGTGATAAAACGCATGTCTCGAAAATTGAAAAGTCAACGATGTTGAGAAATAGTATGAATCAACATCGTGAATTGAACGAACAGTGTGCGACTGCTTCTGGACCACGACACGTGTGTCTTTATTGTGGAAAAAAATACAAATGGTTGGATAAGTTGAGGAGGTATCAAAGAGTCGACTGTGGCAATAAGGAGAGAAAATTTCCTTGTCATTTATGTGACAGAAAGTTCAAGTACCGTTATGAACTGCGAAATCACGTTAATGCTTATCACCGTCTATGAATCTGCAATGTGTTAAGTTTCTGTTTTTGCATTCGCGTCTTTTCCATCGAGCGATTTGGCTGTCAGTCAGATGTTGTACGGACATTTTATATTTTCAATAATATTTCTGTTTCCACGTTATATAGTAAAGTTAACACATAATTACATGATTATATGTGTAACAATAATTTTCAAGTGTCAGAAGATTGTATGCACCATTTATTGATATTATTATGTAATTTTCTTAGTTCTTTATAAAAATTCTTTGTATAGTTACATTGGATAAAGTTCGTCGAATCAGTCTTAATCGGACTTTAATAACTTAATGAGCGCTAAATAGTTGTAAATTGTGAATTCAAAAATTGATTCGTTTGCAAGAGATTAAACGTGCGTATATTTGACGTATTTTAAGCTTTGCACTATAATGGAATCATATTAATAATCGATGTCTATACGAAAACACAATTGAAAGTAGAAGTAGCAATTTAAAAAAAAAAAGAAACATCACTTTATCGAATGTAACAAGAGTAAGAAATGAATCCACGCATTCTGTATTTCTTCCTAAAACGAAAATGTTTCAATCGTGATTCTACGAATTAGGTTTGTTAATCGTAAACCACGATAAAATTAGTTTTTAGAACTATTTTCTTTGTTTCTGTCTATTTTTCATTTCAGTTTAGTTCGCTTCACAAGTTATTGTACGTATGTACAATTTATTGGATTTTATTTTCATTTAATAAAGTTGTTTCAATATTTTATCTTTATGTTATTACACCTGTTGAGTGCTTCATTTAGCAGAGAATTTTTTAAACGGTATTTTAGTAAACCGACTGTAAAATTGATCAAAGAATAAAGTATTATGTGTTCACTTGTTGGATTTACACCACGCGTATCGATCATTCGATGCTTCCGTAACGTTTATAGTATTGAGTCGAGAGTTGGCTGTATTTTAAAAGGTTCGAATTACGCTTCTAAAGTCCTTTCGCTATTATTCGCTTTCGTATAACAATTCAGAAATGCTTTTTAAACAATTTATCTGTTTCTTGAATTTCAGATGGCTGCTTCTCGTTACATCTACCATACAGTTTGTCATCGGGACTTCAACCTTACATGCCCGGCATGAATTTACCGCAAGATGAAATGAAATATTTGCGCAACGACGGCAACTCGATGAATATTTGTTTCGGTTGTGGCAAGAGGTACAAGTGGAGAGACAGTTTGTTAAGGCATCAAAGAGTCGAATGTGGTAACAAAGAGAAAAAGTTCTGTTGCAAATTGTGCCCGAAAAAGTTTTATCACCAGTACAAGTTAAATGAACATTATCAGGGACGACACAAACTACCGAAGCATCGTTATGATTGAAGTCATCATTAAACTTATGAACTTCAGTGATCTTTGTTTGACGAATGATTTTTAGAATATTTTTATATTAATTTTTTGAAAGGTAAACCAGATGTTCCTCGTGGAAATACTCAATGCGCTCAGAATGTTAATGTAATAAGACTGCCTTAGGATATGTTTGTTAATATTATTTATGACGTTTGACAAGTCTCTTTCGTTGCCGATTTCTTTTTTTCGGCAAATACGGATCGATTAAATTTTCCACCAATGTTTGGAAATTCCTGCGAAGCTTATAATCGATTTATATTTATAAGCGTGTAAGTAAATACTACGTAACGCTAAATTCCGATACCTGATCGTATAAATACTAGGAAATCAATATAAGAATTAATAAATATTGAAAATCACAACTATCATTATTTTTTTTTTTTTTTGTTGATAATATCAGTATCATTTTAATTTAATTGCAACATTCTAATAAATTGCAAGTTATTGTCTTATTGATCTATTGTTATCAATCTGCTTGCTAAACATTGTATCTGAATCAGCATCGCTCTCCATTTTTGGAAATAAACTGAATTGAAAACAGAAGATAGAAAAATCTCGATCGAGTTTTTAAATGTTGCAACGAAAGTGTGGCTGCTTATGTGAAAACTTAACATGCTACTTAACATCAAGCCTTGTTTGTAATGAACCAACCTAAACCTCGTACATGTATCAATACTTACAATTGGAAAAATCAATTTCATCTTCATTATTCATTTTATGAAAACAGGTTTCACATTTTCTTAATAATCTGTGACGTACAAAAATGGGAATAAATATAACGAAGTCTTGAAAATAAGCCGCGTTTAATGATATTTGGACACTGAACCAAATGTGTTCAAATGATTTTCATGTCTCGTTGAATCTCCATGTCTGAATAGCACTGCGATCGCAATGCGATTTATATACAAAAATTGTAAGTGGGAAAGAGAGGTTTAGAGCTCGTGACTTAAAACTGATAATCGTTCTCACATAACCGGTGGTTGATCAAACGTGTCTCGATTCATGCTCTGTGTACATCCGCCTTTTCTTGTCGCTTTGTTTGAACAACTAGCGAGATAATCATTGGTCATTGATGCGAGTTGTCGGAAGCGAATGAGAGACAATGTACAACGATACTGATCTTATTATCTATTTTCTAGAACGGAAGTACTCGCCAAATAAAGGGATCGAATGGTATTATCAATACCAAAGCTTGTATCTTCAATTGATGGCGGAAAATCAAGTGGCAGAGAAGGCAGTTTCCGAGACTAGCGATTGTTCGGGCAAGGTACAGCATTCTGGGAATTGTCTAAACGACTTCATTGCCTCAATGAAGATGCCGAAGAATGGATATGACAAACCATCGGTGATGGGAGATCGTGCGAATGGGAGTGTCCGCGAGTCTTTGATTTACTCTTGTTCACGTTGTGGAAACGCTTATACAAGATCTCACTCATTGAACAGACATATCAAATTCGAATGTGGTGTCGAGCCGCAATTCGAATGTCCCATATGTCACAAGAAATCGAAGCATAAACACAACTTGGTTTTACATATGAAAACTCACAATAAATCTTAAGTACTATGATCAGTCAACATAAATATTAACGAAAGTTTTAAACGCCAATGATCTCTGAAATTATTTGCTGTTATATTCGTTGCCATTTATTTTGTTTTTTTTCCTTTTTTGTTTTAATTCGATAAAAATTAAAATTGTAGTGAAGAAGGTACATATGTGACAAAGTAAAGAGAACGTAAGATAGATGAAATATAGGTAAAATTTATGAAAATTAAATTAATAAATTCTTATTGTACATGTATATACAAAAATGTATATAGAAATAATAGAAGGGAAAAAGTTCGTCTGAGTATACGTGTATAGAAAAAAGGCTCGCCTATGCGTGGATATCAACGAATACTCATAATTGTATAATAACGAAAATAAATATTTTACATTTACGAAAAGTTACAATACTTATAAAAGCATTATGTATCTTCCTGTATTACCAACTATCGTATCATTAAAACGAATAGGAATTATAAGGATATATGAAGACCATTCTGTTATAAATATTCATTTTATAAATATTTTTAATTGTATTGTTGGGAAACCATCTTGAGAACCAATATATTCCATGATCAAATTCTTTCTCTATAAAGATATTAATAATTGCATGCCAGAGGTGTCTTGTGATTTGTCAGATAGATTATTCATAGTGAACGTAATTCTGCACGAGCGTGCGATCTCGGCACAATTCTCGAAATTTGACGTTTATCGAGAGGAAAAGAAAAAAAACATATTTGTTTTGCAATAGCATGGCTCGATGTAAGATTCTCGAACTTATTATGATCCTTTCCCACTATTAACACTTACGCTCCGGGGCGATCTGCACGCTACGCTTCTACTGGTGCCGCCTGGGCGAATCCGTCGAGTTTTACCAAATATGTAAACACGAACGTGTATATACCTCGTCCTAGCGTTTATGGATAGAAACAAGAGCGTGCAGGTGTTAATATTATCTTACCGTAAAATGCTTGTTCTTCGCTTGCACCGCAAATGCAAGACAATTGTTTCATCGTGTGTTTAAAAAAATGTTGCAGTTTGGAACATGCTGAAGGATTTGGAAGATGGGCCACCATTTTTATGCCCAAAATGCGGTCGTACTTATTCCCACAAATGCAACTTAACCAGGCATTTACGACTAGAATGCGGCGTTGGGCCAAGATTTCAATGTGCCTGGTGTAAGAAGCGGTTCAAGCATCGACATCACTTGCGGGACCATCAGAGGATCCACCTTTATTCGAATTGCACGTTTGAATTACGAAATTAAAATACTCCCTTCCCTCTGTTCCCTTTTTATCTATGTACAATCTTTGATTATTTTTATATTTTACGTAGTAATTTGAATATTCAATTATTTATTTATTTATTTATTTATTTATTTATTTATTGTTTGTATTGTTCGTTAAATTGTTTATTTATTAACTAGTCAAAAGAAGACACATTGTCGCAATGTGTTTATCCCCATAATTTGTTTATTCCCACAATTTAAATATTTTTCTAAGAAATGACATGTATAATCATTTCTCGTTGTGAACGTAGTACAGAATTCGCATATTTAGATTACGCGAGATACTATTATTTTATAAGTCTCTTTTTTATAATACTATTTTCGAATTGCTTACAATCAGAGATGGTCAACTACCGGCCCGCGATTCCCTGCCCCTACTTTCTTGATCGCGAGCGCTATTTCCCCCATTGCATCGATCTCTTTACTTGCTTGGTAAAGAAATCAACAGACTGACAGAATGAGGCTCATATTCACGGCGAGAAAATTTCAATAGTGGTGGAGGAGATAGCACTAGCGATCAAGAAAGTAGGGGTTCGCGGACCGGTACTTAACCATCTCCAGCTTACAATATCAATATTCTAGAAAGAAAGAACAGTTTTGTAAAAAATTATAAAACACATGGGGCATTTAATGAGAACAAAAAAAAGAAAAAGAAATTGTAAAGCGAATAGATGTCTGTCGGTATGATTCGAGAATTAAATATCAAATTCATTTCTTCAAATGATATGATAATGCTATTTTAAAGAGTGTTCACTATGAGAATATATTATTTTTTATGCGTACCGTGTATATAAGTACCTAAAAAACTAACTAACTAACAATGACTTCGAATTAGCAAGTAACCAAATTGTCGGGTTGGTATCTAAGAAATTCAAAGTTATTTATTCAAAGTTAGAGTACTTTTCCGTTTGTGATCGGTGTGATTGTCCAGTCTGTGCCAAAAGAGAGATATCAATATATTGTATATCTACTAGCATGTAAGTCATAACTGTACACTATAGACAGGATAGATATATTTATTTGCATAGAGAGAGACTGGAACAGTATACAAGAAAAGCCACTTGGCCCTAAACAAATCCGTCTCAAGTTTTTATAATTCGGTGCTTCTTGCGAATTAGCTTAAAAATCATCGAACTATACAAATGGATAGGTGTTTTGAAAACCAATTGCAAATACCTCGTAACCGTGCCAAAGATATGTCCTAGTTTTTATGTTTTACAAAAGATCCACGCACTGAAAATGGTATGTCTGCTGTCATTGAACGTATCGTTGACCACTTCGTAGCCATGGACGTATCTCGTGATACGATATCACTCGTATGATGTCAGGGACGAGTTATTTCGCGACACAATTCTGTTCGTAGACGAGATATCTCTTTGTTAAGACGAGAGTTCTGCTTTAAAAAAAAGAAATTCAATTCGTGAAATTTTACAGTTAAGGGTAGCCTCGAAACTAATTTTTAAAATTCTCGGAACTCGAATTTAAAACGTTGTGAGGTTTCGAAACTCCCAAAACTTAAAGTGCAGATTTTATTTTGTAAAAGGAATTTCTTCTTTTAAAAATTTGAGTTAATACTTTTATATAAATTTTTATTGGCTACAGCCAAACAGAAACATAACAATATAAATAAAAAAACAGTATAAATAAAAACAAATAACAATGTAAATAAAAAAAAAGCAGACAAAAATATCTAAAATAATCCAGATTATAATTAAGAACACTCTTTCTAGATTTAATCTACTTTTTTTTATCGATTATAGTGCCGAATGTACTGAAAAGTCTTTCAGAGTATACCGTTGATGGGTGATATAATAAAATTTCTTTTTTGATTTGGATATTTTATGTTATCATTCTAAAATTACGATCGATTATAGAAAATGGAAAGAAAAGTTTGTTTGACTATCATAGATGAATTCAATACATTTCATTTGATGGAAATACAAGAACTAGCCGCAAAATTGAACTTGATCTTGAATTTCAAGGTCAAAAACATCAAGACTTCTTTTTGCATTGTATTTTACTTATTTTACTCAAGGTAAAACTTTTCCGAGAAACCATAGATTGCAAGAAACTTTTTGGCCATTTTTCAAGGGAACTGTTAGGTTACGACCTATAGTTCACGGGAAAAGTTTTATCTTCGTAATGAATAGAATACAATAAAAAAAAAAATATTGATTTTGAAATTCAAGGTCATCAAATCGAAGGTGTAGAATTCATCTACGATAGCCAAACTTTTTTTCCACCCTGTACATCTAGTTATATTCTTGAAAATAAAAATCAATCATTAAAAGTTCGCGAAGTATCTTATACCGAATATTCGAAATACATATGAATCAAAGATTCTTTATTCACGCTGCAAATGATTCTTTGTTCATTGATTTTATACTTCTTCTTGTCTGATTTTCGAAAGTTTCGAATCACGAAAAGAATACAAGAATGTTTCGAATTCTTGAAACTTGAAACTTTCTTGGACTTCGAGGTTTCGACGTTTCGAGTAACTTATTTTCGATATAAAATGGATATAAAATGAAAGATATGTCATTTTTAGGAACAATTTATTCATTTTCTTTTTCTTTTTTATAATATAAAAGAGCAACATATAATGATACAAGATAATTTGTAACAAAAAATAACTAATTTTTTTACATAAATTGTGTCTTAATTGTATCTATTAAATGATATACAGTGATTTTCTTTTGAATCTCGTTCTATTAAAAGAATACGCCAGATATCTCGTCCATAATGCTGCACGAACAATATTGTGTGGCCATATAACTCATTTATGGCATTGTGTGAATATGAGATATCTTCTTTGTTCGTGATTACGAAGCATCAAGATGATCTGATAATCGAAGATGTATTTTAATTCGTGAAAAAGAAGATTTTACAGAATAACGATATTGTAATCCAATATACATAAGTCTTTCCTATGGAAATGATAGTGAAATATAGTTAAATATCATTTAATGCGCATTCTTGAACGATAGCGCTCAAGAAAAACAAGCTCGTAACAGTTTAATGATTAAATGTTGAAAACGTTATTTAAAATAACAGATCATACGAAACGTATTTACTAATAAACGCTTCTCTTATAATATGCGTACGAAAGAAAGAAAACTATAACTATTTTATTGTAATATTAAATTTGCTTACTTTTCGAGTACTTTGTAAGAAAATGCAACTTGTCTCAGAGCTTCCGAAAGTCTAGTCGCGACGATGCTAACACTGCAAGTACAAGATGACACAATGTAAGTATACACTCCCAGTTAAAAAGATAGCATCTTTAATTTCTTCGAAAGATATATATATATATAATTTTATATTTGTAACGAATAACACTGTTAAATTACGAACTCAGAATTATTGAAAAGAATAGTTATAGTGTTTCATGCATAACAAGGAAAAATTATTCTATACCTAGTACAAAATGATAGTAATGAATATTGTTGAATGGATTTAAGAATAATATGTATAATTTTCTATTTTCATTATACAATCAGATAATTTTTTTTAACTTAAATTATTTCATTCCTGTACAATAATATGTTTTAATGTGTATTATCGTGTTGTTTTCCATTTTTATGTATCTATACGTAAAATGTATAATTTTAAAACAAAATAATTTATAATTTTAAATATATAATTTATAATTTTGAATTTATAACTTGAATGAGTTGTAAAAATCTTCAATTATGTTAATGTTCCAAGAACGGCAAAGTAGAACAATATGTAAAATGTAATATATACATTATCCTGCTGAAGTGAAATGAAATTTAAGTTTTGAAATTTAGAGATTTAGATTCAAGATATATGTATATTCAGAGATGAAATCTAAATAGAAATCTTCTGCATAGTTGTTCATTTACTCTCTCATTAAATTTAAATGCTTAGCACTATTCATTTTCCCGCCAATTTGTAATTTATCTTACCAAAGTAACCGATAGCGACCCAAATCATTAAATTGTCGCCGACCATTTGTTATCGAATTTGGAAATATTGGAAATATTCTGGGCCATCAAGATTGAATTTCTTCTCATTCAGTATTTCTTCCAATGAACTTGTTATTTCAATCTCTTAATATTTTCATATGACTATAGCATACAGCAGACTCAAAACAATTGCAGCTTGCATAATTTGCTTCGTTGTAAACCAAGACTTGGAAGCAATATGGTAAATAGCTCGTTTATCTCGATGAAATAATGATGATTTTCAATATTTTTTAATGAATCGTGTGTTACCTGACGACTTTTATTCATTATTTTTGATATTTTTAATATGATAAATGTTGTTCCTTTAGTTGAGAATCTATTTTATTCATTCAATATTTTTGCGCGTACCATTCTTAAAAATCTATGTAACATAGCACTTCATTGAAATACTGAACAGTTAAACATATAGAAAAAGTATCATTTCGCTGTTACTATAAAACTTTTCCTTCTTGTACAAAAGCTTTATGGTATTGTAACTTATTTTCAGTGATCGGTGTATTCTGAGTTCGTAATCTAACAATATTATATTTCATTATAAACATAAAATTTTATATGCGTTACTGAGAAATTAAAAATAGCATAGGTGTGCTCTCTTTTTGACTAGGAACGTACTTTCGTTAAAGTTTTCGAGGACGATACTTAAATAAATTTCAAAGAGTTAATAAAAAAAACAGCGTATTTTTTATGATAGTATTGTTATCATAGTGTCGACGATTATGTTAAAACTAAGAATAAGTCAGGTTTTACAGTTCCTTTATTGTCCGAAGCACGAACGCGACGTACTTACAGTTAAGAAAAGAAGAATTTATGAAATGTTAGAATAAAGACAATGTTTTTGTTTTTTATAGAGAAAACGAAAGCAACATAGTTATTGGTTATGACGTATACTTATAGTTTCTTTCAATTATTCAATAATAGCGTTAAGCAAACGAACTGCGTTTATTTAAACCAAAAAACCTGTACCTTTGCAAATAAAATAAATTTACTTTTTACAAAAATGACAGTTCATAATCATTCTTAATTTCTGCACATATCTCATCCGTAGTTCCTAATATATCTTTGGAATGATTCGTCATTATTGATTTATCAGATTAAGTTAAACTGCTAACAAATTTATAAACTTTTAATTATACGTATACAATATCTGGATCGATCCTATTTTTAGTATTCCATTTCATATTTTGACGAAGTTTCTGAAAACTTATCACCTCTTATTTGAGTAAAATATGTTCATTTTGTATGGAAACAGCGTTTGCCTGAAGAAGAATTTTTGACAACTCAAAAAATAAAAAATACTAAAAATTGCAAAATTTTAGAAAAATTTTTTTGTTTGTTTGGATCAAATTTTGAAAACTGATTTGTTTTAAATGAAAGAATGTTTATGAGAAGAATTTTTAGCGATTGAAGAGTTAGAATTGGATTTTGCAGAAACAAAAGTACGATTGTACCAATGTTGGTTCATCCTTTCAACAGCCGGTTTAAACTACTTCAAATTTAAGCTAAACTAATAATGTATTTTGTAAAATTTTGAATCTTAACTTTTGAATTGTTAAAAGTCTTTCTTGTAGATATTATTTTTAACTAAAAGAAACTTATTTTCAAAATATCATTCAGATCAGAACATAGAAGTTTTCAGAATTACAGAAAGTAGCAATAAAGTGACAATATAAAATTTTAAGTTTTAAAATTACCAAAAATCCTTGTCATTATTTTTACGTAAAGTTATTTTCAAAATTCCAGTCGAATCAGAAATGACAAATTTTCATTATTGTATACAAATACTGCTCATATTTTCGTTATTGTATCACTTTTTAACTTGATAAAATTAAAAATTATATAAACATTGCCAAAAATGAAAAAAAAAGTTTTTTTTTTTATATTCATACAGTATTTTATATAGAAAGCTTTCACGATAAGTTATCATCATTTTTACTGCGAACATAATTATCAATACCTTACAGAGTAACGAATGATACAATACCGACTGCAGATATATGCATGCGATACCAACTGATAATAAAGTATCAATAGAAAACAATTAAATGCGATTAAATACAATTTACCAGCGAAATTCATTTTTCTAGTTTAAACGCGCGATATAGTCGTATGTTATCGCATATTGATTAATCGATTAAAAAATAATCGAAAATTGAGTAGACTTGATTTTACAATTCAATGTATACTGCACAATTTTTTGAGACGCAATTCTTTGCGTCACAATGTATTTAACAATTATTATCGGCTTGTTAGACGTCACTTTGTTATTAAGATAAAATTATGTTCCGAAGTTTACGAGCACCAACGTATAGCAGGTAATATTCCATACTGCGCAGGAAATTTTGAAGGATTCAGTAGGCCGAAAGAATAGCAAATTCTCAATTATATCACGAGACAGAAACTGATCGTAATAGGTCAACGTGCACCGCACGTGTACCTATGTATTTGGATACCTACATTTTGGCACGGTGGTATTTGCTACAGCGACCTTGAGAGAGCGGAAGAAAGCGGGATTTTTGCGGGAAGAAGCGAAAATATCGAGGACGGGTCAGGAAGGAAGCTTGGCGCTCATTAAATTGGAACGAATCCTTTTCAGATTGGAGGCATTCCTGCGCGTTGACGTATATATACGTCTGGGGCAATGTATACGTGCGATCCAGCAGGAATTGCCGCCAGAAAATCAATCCGGGACGTCATGCTGTCGTGTGTATCAACATTGGAAAATCAATGGTAACCCGTGACGTAGGAGTCCCGCCTCAGAATGGACCAATAGGATTGCCCGCTGATCCCCACCGTGGCAATCTTTTACACCTACCCGCACGAGCATCGGCGTGCTCATTCCGTAGCAGACTATTGCATCGACCGGACGCGCGTGATCGAGAACTTTGTTGAAAAGGCAGTACATTAAACTACTGTAAAAAAAAAACAAAAAAAAAAAAAATAGAAAAGTACAACAGCCACCCGTGAAAGCACACGACGTGTATGCTGTTTTCCAGTCAACACAGTAGCAACAGCAACTGGGAGGATCGGTTAGCAGCAATACCGGCAGCACAATACCAGTGATAAGTCATTGTTATCGTCGAAGACAGCTAACGTTCTATTCAATTCGAAAAATCCAATCGGAACGAACGTTGCGAATTTCAAATCGGATCAATTCCAAGCAGAGACGTAATTTGGGAAAAAATTGGATTCAGTTCGCGACAAAACGTTTCATCGAGAATAACAAAGCAATTTGCACGCGTAAATTTCTGTTAACTGAAAAAAAAAAAAAAGAAAGAAAACGATCCTACACCGGTGAAGCGAGAGAGCAAAGTGGTTCGACGAAATCTTTTGGAAAAAAACTGTCGACGTTCACAGAGGCCTGGGAGCCGTCCGGTTTGAACTTTCCAGAAAAACAGAGCGACAAAGACAGCGGCTAGGTATAGAGCAAGGTGAGAGAAAAAGAAAGCGACTTGCCGCGGAATAGAGAGAAAAAGTGTGTGCTCGGTCACAAAGTGAGTGCCGGCTATCGAGATGGCGTTTATGATGCCCGTTATGAAAAACGAGTGGGACATTTATAAGACCAACCGCAGTCGGCGATCATCCGAGTGTTCTAACCCTCAGGGCTGTCGCAGTAGAAAGGTGAGTGTTTTATTCGTTCAAGATTCGCGTGAAAGCGAGTTTCTATTAATTATGTATGTTATGCCTTCCAGTAATCCCTTTGCCCGGCGTGTTTTTCATTTTGCAATTCGATCCAACAGAAACAAAACGCGTGTATTCGTCGCTCTCCCAAAAGTAATCTTTGCTAGACAACGATATCTCGTGGAAACGAACTCGATCGATACTCCACGGTTCTTCGATGTGTATTTAGAGAATTCATTTCTTCAAATCGGTCTCTTTCGGACTCTAATGTCATTTTGTCCAATTGCGCTGGCAACTGATTGCGGACCATAACGAGCGACCAAACCGTGTATGCAATTCGCCGCTTTCTTTTTGAATACGTCGGTATATCGCTGGATAGAAATTATTGAGAAGTAATAATAAATTTATTATTTATTTTGCCTAGGTTATACTTAAATATACTTAAAACTGAGAAAATATTGTAATTTTGGGACAAAAAGTTCTCGACGTGCGTGGCACGTCATTCCAGTGCAAGAGGTTATTAGGTGATACAAACTCAATTTCGAATGTTTTCAAGCATGCCATGTACATATGTGTATGTGTATACATGGCATGCTTGAAAACATATATATATATACACACACACGTATATACGTAGAATCGACGACGTAGGTCGGAAATAATTTCACGGTCAAGCGAATCGTCGATTACGCGCGACGAAAGTGATTTGACGACGGATGCGAAAGAGTTGGACGTTTATTGCGGCACAGGCTCCACATACGCGAGGTAACCGCATTGTCGGCAGTCTGGTATTGCTGACGAAGGAAACAGAGCAGAAAACACGTTGCCCACGCGCTTCTTCAGGAGAAAACTTGACGACGCCAGGTTTTTTTCGAGCTGTTGCAGCGACATTCTCAGGCATGCCTCTATGTCGGCGTTCGGTTGCGCAACGTTCATTCTCAATTTCGTAATACATCGCTCGATATGATAATTTCTCCGCAGTATCATTTTGATCGCATGTCGAGTTAACACTTAATCGGCCGGTGTTTAATCGAGAGAATTTTCCTTGATAGCCGGCAATAGTTTGTAAGTTTGCAGAAAGAGGAAGTAAACTATGAATTCTGTTGTAACTTTCGTTAATTTATTAACATTTTTTTTTTTTTATGAAATTTTATACGATTACTCTTCACACTCTTTGATTGAAGATTTTACCTAATTTGAATATTTGTGTATATTTACACTACATATTTAAAATTGCACCAAGTATGAATTTTCTTGGACAATAAATAAATTATGACCAAAAATCACTGAAATTTGAATTGTAACTTTTAATATCACAAACTTATGAGTCCGATAAAATATCTGCGCATATTAGTTGCAATAGATATATTTTTCATTTCCGTCCAAGTTTGATACTTTTCAGAATGAATATTACTTATTTGAAACTTCTTACGTAAAATTTAACGATAGAATGACTACCGGAATGATACTGCTTCGAGAACATACTAGGCAAACAGATTGATTACAGTTTGCTGCATGCATTTTCCATTTACCGAATAAGTTAAAAATAACTTCAATCTACAATAAAGTCTAAACAGGTACCCGGTTAAGTGTTACTATGACGGTGCTATTAGCTATTTACTATGACGGTGCTATTAGCTATACATACCGAATACGTACTTGTTTTGACGATTCAGAGACCGATTGTCATTTTTGTCATTTCACGTTTTTTTCAACATACCGATTAACGATCTATCGAACCAAATCTTCTTGTTGAAACACGCATTCGTTACCGTTTCACTCACGGTGATATCGATGTCGGGCAAAGGATGATCGAGGAACATAAGCATGAAATGTACTGTAAACCACGTTAATTGATAATTACACGTATATCGAGCTTGATCGAGTTTTTTTAATCGAGCTCTTGATACACAATTTCATTTCAACATTGATCTTTAATTTGCCGAACGTTACAGTCAATATTGAAAATGTGAATTTTTTGAATGTTCACTTGTTGAATGCCGATTGATGTAGTAAAGATAAATCGTGTGAAGCTAGGAATCGAGCCGATTGTACCCATGACGGAAAGTTACATAATCCTACGTAACCAAAGGACGTGCATCTGTGGCAAGAAATTCGCTGTGTCCGAGGTTGCGCCGCACGTGCGCACGTGCAGCATCGATTGTCGTGCTAGATTGCAAATCACTGTCCGATTGTAACGTTAGATCAAGATCCATTCAGCTGTGATCGTCAATCCGTCAATCGTTTCCCGTGTTACATCCAGCATCGATGACAGCCCGCACGTGTTGCTTTCACAATTTTAGCTATACAGCATCGAACCTATAACCGGATGATTCTGTGTGAAAAAATGCAACGAAAATAAAAAAATAGAATTTTTTTTATTTAAAGCCTCCTTTTTTTTTTTTTTTTTGATAAAATTAAGTTTGAAGATTTATCAAGTTATCTTTGAATTCGTCTAGTTGTGAACTGGACGAGGAATGACGAAGTCGGTGGAAGGTCGTTTTGCAAAAATAAGTAAAGAATGAAGAATAAAATCTTGTATGGCTTCATTTTCAAGAAAATAGAATTTGTTGTTTAAAAGTTTATAATAAATCCGTGATAAACGACAAAGTAATGATGTAAAACGTAATAAGAGAAATACTTGATAAATTTTCAAATTAAATTTTCTTGAAAACGAAGCATTTTATGAAGAAATTGGACTTCTCCTCCGATTTCGATGTGTCTTTGAATATATTGTGGAAATCAACATTTTAAATAACTTTTTCCTGTACGTATAATCGGTGATTAGACCTACTTTTCAGATATTCGCAAAAAATTGCTGATATTAATATCAGCTGATATTAAATTCTGCCCTTACGTGTGCATCTATGACATAGCTAGCATATCTTTGCCATCGCTCCCTTTATCTTTATATTATATCTTACGAATCGTACAAATAATTGATGAACAATGAAAACTCGTTCACAATTGCATGTGTCATTTGTCCGCGACGTTTGTTCGTTACAAAATAGAGAATGACATTGTTTGCTGAATCTGTTCTGTTTATTTTATGCAACATAGTAATTATTTCACGCCGGCTGCTTCACAATGACCAGATTAGCCTAAATCTAACCTAATACATTGATGATATTCGTTGTTAATTGACTTATAATCTCGCATATGCAGTTGTGCCTGCAGTTTAATCAAACTCACCCAAAGCGTTTCGTTTATATGCACAAAAGATAAGAATTAGATTGGAGTTAAATGGCCTGCAATACTAACACATACATTGCTATGGACGCATAATTCATTGTAGCGCTACCAACGGTTTTTTTGCGAATATCTTGGAAATTAATTGTAAGACTGATCGCCGATTATATGTAAAAAAATGTTGTTCGAAATGTTAAAATTTACAGCATATCGAACAATCATCGAAATTGCAGAGGAAAATAGTTTTTCTATTTCACTAAGAATTGCATTTTACACTTTTAAGCAATTTTGTACATCTGGTCATTATTTATTCTTGACTAATTTAGAATCAGCTAAATTGAAATATTGTTCATAAATTTGCAACTTGATTCTTTTGAAAACGAAATCTTCAATGGAGAAATTTTGTTCTTTCTTTTCGACTAATTTTTTTCGTGTAAAATCGCTTCCCCCTCGTTGTACGTCCAATACTAGGATTAGGAACTTAAATACCGGTATGATTTCTATTGAGTAACGAAATTATACCGAAACCGATATAATATTGAAATGAATCGTTACAGATTAGTACCGAGAATCGGAAATAAATAGTACTATTTCGATATTTCTATAAAAATGATAGCTAATTGAAACTTTCTTTCTGTATAATTAAAAATAATATATATTAATCGTAGGTACATATATAACACTAATAAATTAAAATACATATTTTAATTCACATTTTATCTTCTTGATGATATATACGTGAAATCATGTTTGGTAATTTCACTCTTTGGAAATTTCTCCGGATTTATGCAAAGATGATCATTGAGGATGAAACGAAACGAAAAATGCTAAATTCATTGTAACGAAAAATTAATTGATATTGTCAGAAATACTAAAAATATTTCTTTTCAAAAATAGTCGTTTCTACGCGAGCATATCATGAACCAAGCTATAGAGAACCTCGTGTATTTGATTCCGTGTAACAAATCAATAAATTTCAAAAATTGTCCTCTGTTGCTTTTTTGTTATGTGAATCGCTCAGTACTTGATTTTCTGCTGACGAGATTCTATGTTTCTGTCACCGATTTCGAAAACTGATTTATTTATATTGCACTTCATTTCCAACTTGAACACCACTCTCGCCACAGCGACCTTGTATAGTTGGAAATGTTTGAAATATTCCATCATTTGCGTGGTTGCGGCAACAGTGATGATCGCAGCATTAAACTCATCTTTTCTCATAATTTATAAGCATTGCATAAATTATCTCCAGTTAAACGAGGTCATTAGACATAGAAGAAATTTCAAAAAAATTGTATTGAATAAAAATAGGAAAACCGTTGATAATTATATTATACATACATATATATCGGTTTTGGTATAACTTTGCCAATATAATCAAGATTATGACAGCATGTACAGAATTCAATTGGTTAAAAGTTTTAATGAAGTCAAAAGACAGGAAACATTACCGGTAAATAAAGGTAAATTTACCAGTATTTTTATATAATACCGGTATGACCTTCATATCTATATTTTAGTATTTCGATTTCTATAAGGATTATGAACCAATAACATAAAAAATACCAGTTTAACATTAGTATTATACATTTTGATAAAAGTTTCTAACTGGAACATATATTACCTATTGTATAAGATAATTGGGACGGTAAAAAGAAGGCAATGGAGATAGTTCCCTTGTCAACATGCTGTGTTACACGATTTATTGTTTGTTTATGTGGCACTTTCGAACAATGTCCTTTTATTTAATTTCATACTAAACTTAACCAAAACCTGCATGAGAGTTTTTTCCAGCAACAGTATCTATCTGCACTTATCCGATGCATATATTGTACTTGTCTCAAAATGGAACTCTCGTCCTGGAACTCTGCTTTTGGAACAGCATAAAATCATCAAGAATCATTTTGCATTTTTTCATTGGGAAGTCTAGCTGTTTCGAGAAAATTACTAACTTCTTTATTGCTTTTGTTTCAAAAAATTCTAAATCGTAAAAATACAATGTAGTGTATAAGAATTCTGTAAAACGAACCAAAAGTCGAATCAAAAGATCGAACTAAAATAAAAGTAGTATTAGATTTCGTGCGTGTTTCAAATCCACCATCTCGATCGTTAACACTAGAACTACCAAAGCGATCAAAATGACCAATTTGTCATTTTTTAGAGTAATTTTGCAGATTTACAGTGTTACATTTTTTAGAAATTCGAGTTGTTTTTGCAAAATATATGAATAAAAATTCGTGTTCACTATCGTATTATAAATTCCTTGTATTCTAATTTCTTTGATTCGATTTTTGTACGTTAGTCCTCGGTAGTTCTAGCGTTAATCGTTTGATGATTTTTGTGAATGCTAAATCAGGGAACGATTCGTTTTTGTTCGCAGGTGTCGGAATGTTCAAAATCCGAAGGGCCATCGTTGTCTACTTCGCCTGGATCGGACTTTCTGACGTCGCCGGCTCATCGTTCGGTACCCCTCACCTCTCGACATTTCTCAAGAACATCCTCGAGGGCATCTCAGAACTCATTGCAGAGCCCAAGCAAGAGTACCGGCTCGTCCCCGCCGAAAACCGGCAGTTCTAACTCCTTGAATAAATTCCACAATCGATTAGTGGACAAGCTGAAAAGGTCGATAAAGAAGGCTGACGATACCGCGGAAGATCAACGAAATTTATCGTGAAACAGTCAAGGGGTTTTGGGCCGGCCACCGATTCCCGGCTCAAAACCAATCGAGATCCGACGTACTTCAGCACCCGTTACCACGTCCGCGACGATTTACGAGGGGGTGGCACGATCCTGTCCGGATTCGTCGCCTTCGGCGTGGTGAAGCAAAATAAAAAAAAAAAACAACAATAAAAATGACAACGATAGCAACGGCAACAGGATCGGACAAACGAGATGAAAAAGTTTCCCGCGATTTATTTATTGACGACAAAGATAATGATCGATTGCTGTGTCTAACCATGCTTGGAGACATAACGCTAACGCAAAGGAGCGAAGAAAGTTGCGCGGCCTTCTATTAAAATATCAAGATCGAGGACAGTGTTCCTTTGAAAGAAAAATCGAACTAAGGTTGAACAGAGCACGACCCTACAATTGAAGATGTCGTAATCAATGGCTGACATTCCACCAGCTAAATCTCCGTATCTTTGTAGGTTACAACGCTTTCTTTTTACTTTTTTTTTTTTTTTTTTTTTTTAGAGGAAACGAAAGAAAGCTCGATCGACGATCAACATGCACGCACGCGTAG